CTATTATGTCTCGGATTCGCTCTTGCTCCTCTCCGACAGCTTCGTATCCTGTCAGTATCTGTGTAGCCTCCGGTTCGGATGATTTCTTTCCCTTTTGGGAATTTTGGGCTGATGTTTTAACATCAGGTTTTGCCTTTGTTGATTGGTTCGCGACTTGTTTATCATCTGTAACACGCACCTTTTGTTTATCTTTCTTCCAGGAATTTTCGGGTATCACAGTTTGATCAACAGGGGGCATTACTATATCAGGCATTGATGGAAGCTTGATAGGTACTGGATTTGGTGGCATTTGAAATCCTTGGCGTAAAAGTTCATCTACATCGGGCTTAAGCTGATATGACTCATCCATCAGATAATCATCAGTATGCTGAGATCCATCATCGTCGTCATCATCATCAATACCCGTATCGCCAAAATTGAGATAGAATTGGGTAGAAAAATTATCCCAAGACTTGGACGCAGCATATAGTGCTATAGAAAATATTAGCGAAAGGGTGGTGGGTTGTATATTCGTAGCTTGAGCTTGTGAAGAGAAGTTCGCAGGGTTGGCTGTCTCGCCAAACCTCTCTATCAGTATCTGGGCTTTATCTTTAGGTACTGAGGGGTTTTTTTCAAATAAGTCCTTGAGAAAACCGTCTGTAACAAAAGAACTTAAGTGGTGTGTAAAAGTTTGAAAATAAATTTTGTTAAACTTAGAAACGAAGTCTAAAGCTTCTTCGTTTGGTATTCGGCTCTTATCCATAGACATTTTTATATTAATGTAATAAAATTTAATAAAGGGGATTATTTTTTAAAAAAAAATTATTACGCAGAAATTTTTGTAAAAAATGTATTTGGGAAAGAGTCTCCTTCTCACATCGGTAGTACATTGCAGGGTCCGATGTTCAGCGTTTCTTTATGATGTACATCAAGTGACCGATGTACATTTGATGAACATTTTTCCTGTGACTTCCTGATGCATGTTATATATTGTTATATATGCTATATAAATGTGTTAATTTTGACACGTCTTTGAGTAATGTCCATACTGCTTACACTTCCCGCACCTTCGCCCCTTTGTTTTATTTATAACACTATGATCTGTTATATTAACCTGTGTACTATTTTTCAATACTCGTTTTGATCCCTTAGACGAAGACAATCCAACATTTGATTTAAATCTTTTTGGAGGCTGTCCTTTGTGTTTAATAATAGCTGGGTTATTAATATCAGCTAAGGGTTCTACTTCCTGAACATTCTTATTCTGTGCGTCATAGATAAAAGCCTTGAGTAAGTTCACTAACTCATGTTGCATATTAGTCTTAAGTGCACAGTTAATACCTTCTTTAATAACCCAAATAATTCTGTGTAAATAGCTTTACTTGATTTTACAGGTGTTTGGAAACCATGTGAATCAACCCGAAACAAAGAAAAGTGCTGAAAATTGATACTTTTTTCTGTTTCTACATTTTCTTGTGTTATGCCACATACCAGAATAGAAGAATGTTGTTGCAAAAGATCATTTGGATGAATATTAGTATCCAAGTACCATTGGTTTTGGATTATGCTTATATGAAATGTTGCATATTGGGAATAAATACCAACACGAAGAAAGTGACAGCATACCAACCCTTTGTTGATTAAAAGAAGACAGGTACATAAATGCATTCCTTCATTAAGCAGAATTACATAATGACCTATTCCTTTAGTTCTAGTTGCTCGTACATGCCATACTTCTATGATAGCTTCTGGTGGAATAGTTTTAATTAATGATTGGAAAAGGATTTGCCGTATATCTTGCTCCTCTTCTCTAATTCCAATACTTATTTCTTCATTATCAGTTTCCGTCTAGAAGTGTTAAAAATATGATTTATTAGTCACAAAATCACATATGAACGAAACCTAATGAAATCTAACTCAATATCAAAATTACTTGCCTCTATTAACTGTTGCCATTCTGTAATCCGATTTGCATCATAGCATACTGATTGATTCATTTGTGATCACTGTTTTCCAAGCATTACCGGCGTTAAAAAGTCTTTGATAATAGCATCCATTTGTCCAAAAAATCTTGTATTTAACATTGGCATTCCAACTTTAGGTAAGGCATTTTGTTCAATTTCAAACTTTTCAAGATATTCTTCATTTTTAACATAATCTTTAATACTATGTAATAGATCACATAATGAAGTGGCTCGATCAACTTTGTCATGTATGTGTTTATTAATTGATTCAATTCGTTGTGTACTTTGGGCTCCAGTAGTGAATTGTTTGTGTACCCAGGGTATTGCCCATGATTCCTTTTTAGCATAGAGTGATTCAGATAGATATTTTGCTGCTGCTGGATATTGATCTATTAACTAATTCCATCGGCATTCAAATAGTTCCTCACAAAGAGAGTTGTGACATATATAGAACTTATGGTGTAATTCCTTAAACTGACTAGTGACTACCCAATTTTCCTTTAAGCTTTTTTCGGAGATTTAGATCTATGGAAAATGCACAATAGGTGCTGAATATTGGGATAAATCTCTTTAATTGAACAAATCATTGAAGGATCTGAATCAGTAAAGATAACTCTGGAACAAACTCCTGTTTCAGACTTTCAGTAAGTATAGTATCAAAGATCCATCGATAAGTGTCTAATGTTTCATCTTCAATGATAGTACTTGCCACAATTCTAGTCTTATAATTATTATCAATTACAGTTAATATGCATAGCATCATTTGAAATCAAGTATTATAACGTCATTATATTTGCTATATAGCTTTCTTTGTACTGGTGACATCTAAAAAAGAGAGCTTAATTTTCTTGAGATTGGTTCTAGTCTAGGTTTAACTATCCAGAGTGGCTCTGAATCCTTCCATTCTAGCAATTGCTGAAGCATCTGGGATGCATCAGTGGCACCTGGATTGTTTTTCTGATGAAATTGATATACCGCGTTGTATAAATCCTTCTTATAAATAGGTTGGTCTGGATAATCATGTCTAAGCAAAGGATATATAGATCCTGAGTCCATTCGTCCTTGGTTAACATACTTCTCTATATCTTCTAACATTTTAGATGTTAATTTACAAAAACTTGGTGCTATTTCACGAATAATTGGGGTAAGAGGATGATTATGATGATTGTTAAATGAATTAATCTTTACAACACCATTTTTTTTGGACAGGTGACATTAAGTTTCCAGGAACAGAGCATTCGTGAAGAAAAAGCATTACGATGCTTAGTTGGATCTGAAGTAATTTGTGGATTATGTGAGCCAGACTTGGTACATTCGTAAGTAACCCTTCTCAAAATCCCTTGATCTTTTTCACTCGTTCTAATCTTATGATCAAATCCTTCTTTTAATGCAAACCTATCTAACCAATTCTTGAATTCATCCCAGCTTATGAAGGTGAGTCCGGAGACCAATTCCAAAGGTTGATTATCACTGTCTCCATCTGATTCATCATCTTGTAAAGTGTCATCTGACGTTGGTAAACTTGGCGCAGAAGGCTATTTAGAAACATGAATAAGTCAGACAAAATATTAACAAGAATAAGCCATGATGAATAAATGGATAACCAACATACATATAACATAAGACATGTTGGAGAAGTATATTGTGTAAGAGTACCATCAGCGTCTGGAACAACATATGATGTGAGATCTGTTAGAGTGGCATCATCAATATTTGATGTGAAGTGTGCCAGAGTAGCGGCATTTTTATCTGGAGTGTATGATATGAGGCGTGTTAGAAAATCATCAGCATATTATTCATCTGGGGCAACGTATGGCGCGAGGTGTGTTGGAGCAGCATATTGTATATATGATGTGAGGTTTGTATATTGTTCATCTGTATCTAGAACTTCATCTTGTAAAGTGTTGTCAAATGTTGACAGGTATGAATCAATAGACTATTAATAAAGAAATACAAACACTTATTATTTAGTTATATAACAAAATTTTGATGAAGAATAAATATAAGACTGACGTGTATCACATGATGCGTCAAAGTAGCATTTTGTTCATATGCAAAAACATCCATAGCGTTTTGAATGCAGTTGTTATAGGACATTATTACAGAATATAAAACTTAACGAAAGGTCAAAGGGTAAAAGCAAAAACAATTGTGATTGTAAACAATGTATTACAAATAAAGATAATTTTTATTATTCTGTTACACCGGGTCCAAACACCCCATGTATAAAATTTTATTATTCTGTAACACTGAGTCCAAACACCCAAGTATAAAATTTTTATAGTTCTGTGATACTGGGTCTAAACACCCCGTGTTTGCTTAGAAATTATCTTGATAAAATCTGATATAAAAAAATTTATTAAATACCTGTAGATGTAAACTACATGAATAAAATTATATTCATTTGAAAGAGAAAATTGAGGTCTATCTAATAAGCCTAAAATGTAATGAATTGAATCCAATATATTTATTTTTGATTTTTAAGTTTGATTTGACTTTGATCTTTAATTACGCCTCATCCAGTGATCCAATTTTCTTGATCTTTGATTTTTACGATAGAGCAAATTTCAGCTTTCAAATGAATATAAAATGATGATATTAGCATATCTCCAGGAATAATAATGCACGATTTTGTCACCTGCATAAAGTTTGATCTGAAAATTTTATTTTTTACCAAAAAATGCTTTCATAAGAGAATCCCAAATTCTTTTACTTTATTTAAAAGTCATTTAATTGCCGATCCATGAATAAACCGGAGCACGTGTTCTACATTTAATAGTAAATTACGGGGTTAATTAATCATAGTAAAACTACTTTTTTTTCAAATCTCTATTTCCAACTCATTTGAACCTTCTATAATGTCTACAGACAAATACAAAAGACAACTTTTAGCCACTGGTGATATCATTGAAACATTACACTATAGTGTTTTTGCAATAAACTGGTGGATTTTTATTAAAAAAACGCCAGAAAAATACTCGTGTATCCCTATATGCGTTAATATGAGAATTAAATTTGAGCTTAATAAAACAGAGTTCATTATTCGTATTATTAAACAAAGTAATAATATTTATCAACCTGGTTACATATGTGAAACTGATCAAGCTGCAATGGTTTATTCAACTCCTACTGCAGCAATTAACGAAACTTATAAAAAACTTTTCAATGTTCAAACACGATATTCAGGACCGTTAGTTATGGGGTTTGATGATGAAAAAATAGCTGAAGAACTTCAAGTTGGTGTTCTATTTTTTCCCTTTAAAATTAGTGTTCATAATATTACAGTTTTTATTTTTGCATTAGGCAGTTCTACATTAGAGGAGTTGAACTTTACGGATCCTGGTTATCAATCATCATTTTCGCACAAGTTTCGTGGAAAACAATCTCTTATAGTTCAATCAATTCTTAAAGATCAATGTCAAAAAGATATATATCAACAAGCAGAAAAAATTCAGACTTATAGTGGCATATCACCAAAGGATGTTTGGTCAAAACTCAAAATTCTTAATAATATCGATGGAGTAACATTCAAATTATGACTCAGGCTTTTGAACAATGTCTAAAAAGAAAAATATTGGTTGCTGGATTAAGTGGAAAAACCAACAATCAAGTATCATTGAACTTTCCTCTCACCTAATATGGGTATATTCAGAGAATTATGAATTTATTGATTGGAAATTACAAGCTTGGAGAAGTATGATGCGTAAAGTAGGATGCACAAACATTACACATTTTACTAAAAAACAATCATTTGTTAGTATTTATGTGATAAATTACGTATTATTTAAAAATGGGAAACTTTTTTTTAAATAATTTATTCACCTTTCAAATTTTTTGATAATATTTTGAATTCTGGACAAATTCTTTGGATCCTTCAAATGATCGGAACTTGATTTCTTATTTATATATAAAAAATCTACTAAATTACAATCCGCCTGAACCAGATATTAAAAATGATAATTTGAAAATGCACAACACTATTGACAAATTCTGGAAAAGTTTTGATGAGTCTATACATATGAATAAGCGTGGATTTGATGGAAAAATGAGAATTTTATCAGTTATTGCAGACAATTTTGGACATCGAGAAATTCGAGAGAAATTGAAGGTGAACTTTTTATATTTATAAATATATTTTTATTGTATTATAATGAAATTTTAGAAATGTTAGAATATATAATAGAATACATGTAATTTCAAATTTGATAATAAAATTTTGAAATAATTTATTTATCGCACGTGCGATGCAAATTTTTATGTTTATCATTGCCATTTTAAGGGGGGTGGCGATGTATAAGCAGGTTGATCAACATAAATAATTTACAAAAAAGGAAAGTGGCGATGCATCGCACGTGCGATGAATAAATTTACTCTAAAATTTTACATATTAAAAAGTATTGGAAACTATATATAAGAACGCAAAAAAATAATAATTTATCGTTATGTTTAATAGATTTCAAATGATCTCATAAGTGCTGCCAAAAAATACGCACATACAAATGGACCAGGATGTGTTGTAATGACCAAACCTATTATTACTAAAAGTCGAGTATCAGAAATACAAGATCAAGAATTTGAAGCATTTTTTGCAAGTGGATTCAAAAACTAATCTACCACTTCTTTATCTCAAGGATAATAAAAAAGCACTTTAGGATAAATTTGAAGCTACATATCCAGATGGTATTAAACGAGCATCATTTATGGCAAGATTAGCCAATGGAAGATACGTTTATCATAAGGATTTAGGTGGCCTCTGCAATATATATAATGAATATGGATATGAAGTTTTTGATACATTGATTAATATAATTTAATTGAATATAAACGAAAAGAAAACAAAGGTAAATATATAATTACTTACATATAAGAGTCAATATAAATCTAATTTCTTATCCTTATTTTAGAATTGATTAATCCATGATGTTGAAAAATTACGTCTACATTTAGGAAGAGGCTTCAAAAATGAACTTTTTGTAAATGAAAATGGTAAAATTATGCATGTTGATACAATCAACCATTGTTTGTTATATGCATTTGGAGAATGCAACAATCAACATAAATCCAGATGCGCAAATTGTGATCATTTATTTATATTAATGCAAGAACTTATCATGAAACAATCCAAGAATCCAAAGATAAATTGCATTACTTTTTGGCTCATCAGGTGAGAAAAGTATATCTAAATAGTCAATTTAAAGCGCAGCTTCTAGAATTAGATGAATATGGAGCAATCTTAGTATACGACTATAAAATGAGAATTTTACCAAAAAGTGCATGTGAAACAAAAGAAGAATTTTTTGGGAAAAAAGAATGGACACTTCATACGATTTTGGTTTTACAAAAAAGGATGATACAAACCTGGATGTTCACACCTTTTACCATTGGTCTACAGATACTGAGCAGGATGCTTGGTTCACTGCATCCTCTTTTAATGCGGTTTTTGAAACTCTAGATCCAAAACCACAATGGGTTAAAATTTTATCTGATAATGGTGGGCATTACCACAACTTTGAATTAATGACCATAATTACAAACTGGCATCAATGGTATAATATTGAGGTTTGTGGGTGGTATTTTCTGGAGCCAGGAGAAGCCATCATGCACAGGTGAGAAACTGTAATTAATGCGAATTATCTGTTATTAAAATTTTTTTTATTACAGATAGCGCATGCTATAAAGAGATACATATGTATTGGGCATTGTTTAGATGAAGGGGAAAATATTCAAACGGCTATTGCTGGATTAGGAGGAACTTCTGTTGCAAATCTTGAGCCAGTAAGAAATAATGCAACTGTTAAAACAATCGCTGGTATTACCAAGTTGTCATACTTTAAATGGCCAATTACGGGAGATTATGCTGGTTATATTTAAGCCCAAACATTGCCTTACATGGGTCTGTGGTCACGATTTTCACCTAGTGATATTACAAAATTAGTAAAAGCACCATTACATAAACCAATACCAAATGTCACTTCTCATACAATACCAAGTACAACATGGAACTTTCCTATTTCCCGAGCCCAATGTAAAACTAATAATAAACTGATACATGGTAATAAGTTCATCACAACTTGATTTTCTATTTGACTATTTCTAAAATATTTACCAAATATTATTATCCCAATAGCGGTCATAATACTCAGGAGACAAGAGGAATTAGAAATAAAAGATTGCGGTGTGAGGAAGAAAAAAAAGTTTGTAATAATATAAAACGCCAAAAAAAATAACTTTGGCCAGTAAAACTTGCTAAATTTGTATAAACTTAATAAATTCTGAATTTTTGGGACCGTCCAAATCTCTATTTCCAATATAGTAAATTCTTTTGTAGAGAAATATAAATGATTTCGTTACTTAATAATCTAAATTTTTAAGATTTCATTTACGTAATGTTTCTTTTTTTTGCAGGTCATATGATATTTTTATTAGATTCATTTGTGGCAAATATTATCCATTAATTAGTCACAATATAAAGATCGCCCCAAAAATTTTCTAAATTAGTGCTCCGATTTATTCATAGATCGGCAATTAAGGATTTTAGTAGAATAAATCTAATAAAATAATTTTAAAAGATAAAAAACAAATATATAATTAGTTATTTTGAAAAAAAAAATATCTTATTATTCATTTTACAACTATTTTACATTATAATTATTTTTTATTTGCATGTATTTTTTTCAAAGAAAAAACAATAAATTAAAGCTAAAAATTATGAAAAAATATGTATATAAAATATTAAGGTTTTTCTTTTACTTACTATTTAAAAATAACTGCTATATATTATATGCTTATAACCTTTTTTGTCATATTTAATAAAAGTGAATAGAAAAATGATGGAAGGAAGAGAAATGGTTATTACCATTATTTTTGAATATTAACTAGGAAACGGTAACCGTTGGTGCGTCCGAAGCATCATAAATTACATGTTCATAAATTTAAACTGAACACTAAAAATATAACACTAAAAATGCTAAAAAAAGTAATAGTATCACTAAAAAATGTCATTTTATTATCATACTTTAATACTTTGTACCTGTCTCTTATACACATCTANTTCTCATGATTGTCAAAAAAAAAAAATAAAAAGTTAATATTTAATTAAAAAAAATACAAAATGTAAAAATTATGAGTAAAAAAAAAATTAATTTATTATTTGAATGCCATAAAAAACTTTTAAGAAATAAGAAAATTTAAATCAGGGATAAAAAAATTTTTAAATTTAACGTATAAACAGTAGTCATGTGACTTTATAAAGATATTTTTAAAATCAGAGGCATAAAGATGCAAGTAAACAAATATAAGGTTACACCTGATCCTTAGATTTTATTGGCCATACACGCGTGCGGACAGACACCAACATGCATGGTATGGAGTAGAATGGAAGTGTCCTACGCTTACGCTTCGGACAATTAAAAAATTTTTTTTTATTTTTTATTAAATCTAAATTACATAAATATGTTAATTTAGTTTTGTGTAATGTTAATTTTATTAAAATATTAAATTTTTATAAAAATCTTAATTTAGACTAATTCCAAAAATCAGCACATATGATATACTGAAATAAGCAAAATTAAATATAATTTAAGTATATAATAATAGGCAATTTCTATTTGTACACAGGGTGTTTGAACTCGGATCACGTGACATATATTTATAATATTTTTAAGAAGGAACATGTAATTGTAAAATCGTGTAATATAAATCATGTACGAAAAAAATTCTTTCCTGAACACATTTTTTACGAAAATTTCTATATAATAATTTTTTTTAAAAAAATATTTCTTTTATTAAATTTTATTACAAACAAATATAAAAATAAATCTGAATAAGAGTAGAACTAGAGCTCTAAACAGTTCTAGTTTGAACCAAAAACTGATTCAAAACAGGACCCTGCTTACTTATAATAAAAGTCACTGTAGAAAATTGGCCTTTACTAATAGTTTTTACCTTACTTTTTTCTTAAATTCTATTGGTTAATTAGTTAAAAAGGAAAAAAATCATAACAATGTAACATAAATTTTCCTTTTATAGTAGGATCTGCAAAGAATTTTATATATGATTTTTACCTTAGGCCTGGAGGTGACCTATCTTATAAGTAAGCAGGGCCCTTTCAAAATTGACCAAAAATTTGGTTCAGTTTTTGGTTCAGTTCAATTCTATTTTACTTTAAGAAAAAATGCAAAAATTGAAATAACTCAGTAACCAGTGATCGTATAAAGAATGGTGTTAAGAACATCTCTCTAGAAACTAGTGATAAAATTATATATATTGATCCTAGAGAAATGATTTTGGCATCATTCGATAGGTTTTAATGAGACGAATCTAATGAGCCTTTTTTTTCATTTTTTTATAATCACTACATAACAAGTTATCTTAATTTTCGCATTTTTTTAAATTTTTGAACATTAAAAAATAAAAATTCTGATCTTAGATGGTAAGATCATGTTTCTAGCATCAATAGATACCTTTCTAATACTGATTTTCTAAAATTGCTTAGCATGACTTATAAGGTTGCTGGAAAAACTAGGGGGTTTTGGCAAGT